CCAAAAAAAAAAAAAAAAAAAGTATTGGCACAGGTCATCCAGGAAAAGACAGCCGGATATGCTACACTTTTGCTAAATACTACAGTTCACACTCTTTTCTTGCATAATCTTATTTTTCATCATTATTTAAGAACGTTATTCAATCTTTTGAATATAATTCTACTCTTTATTAAAGACAGAACAGGACTGCAGAGATAGTTTTACATGAAATCAGATTCAAACTGGAGACATTTTTTTGGCAAGTAGATAAACAACTGTATCTTGATCTGTAGTGCTCTGAGAGGCAGTGACTGATACATGAGGAAAGTCTTACACTATGAAAATCTATGCTACTTTTAATATTTTTTTTCACATTATCAAGTGAGAATATTTCTGGTATGTTCTCATATAAGCAAACCAATCCTGAAATTAAACAATATAATATGAACGCCATCATTAATCGCAAAGTAGTGTGTATCTTTATATATTATATGGTGGACACTTGTATTACATCCAGATTGACATACAAACAACTTCTGTTACGGCCAGAATTTTAGTTTTAACTTCTGAACAAAGTCTTGAGTTATGACCCAAATGCTGGCCACTTCCTGATGGACTCAGTTACAGAATTAACCTTTAAAGAGTTCTTGAAGGAACATTACAACTTCCTTTCCTGTGTGGGGTTAACTGAGAAATCCTGGCCCAGTGTCTTTCTAAGGACACTAAGATCTGTGTGTATACAGAAGAGAGACTTTGAAGGCTGTGTAGGAGGAGCCTGAACCTTCAACTGACCAACTTGAGTTACAACCAGCCCTTTTAAACAAATTGAGTTCATAAATCAAGGGTCCACTGTACATACGTGAAGAAATCTCTGCCATTATCAAATACACATTTATTTTCTTAAAAGACAAACTGATGGGTGCAATGGCATATGCCTATAATCCCAGTGGTTTGGAAGGCTGAGGCAAGAAGATCTTGAATTTGAGCCCAGCCCGGGCAACTTAGTAAGACTCTGTCTCAAAAAGATTTTTAAAAGGGCTGTATCTCCATATGGAGACTCTGGGTTCAAAACAAAAGTAAAGCACCATACATAGTACTTCCAGTTTACAAAGCATTTCTCACGTATTATTTGCTATTCTAATGACTCATCTACAGAGTGGAATAAAAGTGTTAGAGGGGCAAAAGACTTGTTATGCTGTCCTTTTTGTTACTAAGGATCAAACTTGGGACCTTGCGTTTGCAAGGCAGGCGGAAACATCACTGAGCTAAATCCCCGGCTATTATGTTGTCTTTTTGAGACAAGGTCTCACTATGTAACTCAGGCTGGCCTTGAGCTCACTATGTGGCTCAGGATGGAATTGCACTTGCAGAGATCTTCCTGCCTCAGTCTCAGGAGTGCTGATATTACAGGCGTGCACTACTATGCCTGGCTCAAAATACTCTTTATAGATCATGCTGTTCAGCCAAATGAAAAGTGGTGCCAGAGCATTTAAGTAATTTGAACAGGATCTAACAGCTAGAGAGCAGTACAACTGGACTAGAACCTAGGTTTCAGTTTTCCAAATATGTTAAGTCTCCTTTTGTTGTTCCTGTGCTTTGTCTTGTTTCCTGGTATTTGTTTATTATGTGTAACAGGAAATAAACTAATTTTCTTTACCTAGTAGAAGATTTCTGATTCCCTGTTTGTCCTGGATCATCTTGTTTTAATCCTGCAAGCAGGGCATCCTTTGAACAGTGCTTATCCTTTTTGAGAAAAAGGAATTAAAAGAATACACATTAATATTGTTAATGTAAACAGATGGGTTACTGAGCAAACAGTATTAAGGAAGTGTACCTGTAAGTGTGTGATAAAAGAAAACCTCTGTCGCTGAAAAGGCTCACAACCTTCCCAAAGACACTGCCCTGGATATACATCTTTCCCTCCATGTTCAGTAGCTGCATGGTAGAAAACCTGTGAGGGTGTCTGAAACCACCTACAAAAAATAAAATTAGAACATTTCTGACACTTACATATATTTTTTAAAACAGAAAAACCTCCTATTCTTAATATAAGTTGTAGATTA